CGGGCCCGCCTGCTGCCCGCCCGCCCGCCGCAAGGTAGGTCGCGCCGCCGCCCGTGTCGCGACAGTCGCGACGCCGCCTTCCCCAGCGGCAGGGCCAGCGGGGCGCCTGGCCGGAGTGCCGCCAGCCGCTGGGGCGAGAACAACTTAAATGAAAGTTTGGAGGTTCGCCGGGGCTGGGGTGACACCGGAGTTTCCTCCTTCATGGCCAAGCCTCCTGCCGCCCTGAAGCGGTACCGGCTTTTGGTGCATTTTTAGTCATTTTGGGTTTTGTCCCTGCGTGTGTCTCCCCAGTAGCTTGTTGCTTGTTTAAAGAGGAGATGGGCGGTAAACTCCGGGACAGCTTGAATTTTCAGGGAAGGGGTAATGCCATTGTAGTTGTAAGATGTGGCAGTCTTTTTAAAGGATATTTCTAGAAAACTTGTCACTTTCTTCTCCGGGGTGCCTTGGTAAGGTACAAATAATTGTGTTTTGGGGATGTTGTTGCTGGATATGGGATTCACGGTTGCGCTCGTGTTCCTCTTCCTTCATTTCATCCCCCATGGATAACTGGGATCAAAAGGTGAAGCCGTGGGAGTCTTCCACTCCTTTCCTGAAAGGTCGGGAAGGAGAGATGAAGGAATTCCTTGCTCCCTTCACCGCTGTGGCGGTGGTGACGCTGTCCTGGAGTTAGGTTTTTATTCCGCATTACGTGTGGCGTCCTGGTGTGCTGTGGTGCCTGTGCCGTGCTGAGGCACCTGTATCTTGCAGTGCCAATTCTTACCATTTTACTTGTCCATGTTAGAGAAAAATAAGGAAAATAAGGTAAAAGTGACCTGTCTGCTGTCATTTTTTTTCATGTTCAAGATGATGGTCAAGTCAGGTGATTAATTTTGCTTTTACATTTGCTTTTATGATATTTATTTTCATTCTTTTCTCATCAGGAAGCATTATATTCTTTCGCTAAGTCACTTCAAGCTGTTTTAGGAAGTCAGAGGGGCCTCTTATCAGAGCCACTTAACTTAATGTCCCGTGGTTTTTGCCCCTCGTACTGCAGGGGGGCTCCAGTGCAGCGCGGCCACCAGCCCCTGGCTGGACGCCAGGTTTATTGGCATGGAAAAGCCCATGCCGAGGAGAGGGACGGAGACTCGTGCACAGGGGCCGGCTCTCTTTGCAGTTCTGCCCTGCTGTACCAGGTTGGGATTGGGTTTTCCTCGCGGGTTTTGTTTGCTCGGTGTCTTTGCTAGGTCCATAAGCTGTTCTTTTTCCCTCAAGTTTTCCTGCCCTTCCACAGCTGATTTTCGTCGCTGCTGCTGGAATGTACTGCAGTGCATGAGCCGCTGGGACAGCAGCAGTAAAGAGCCAGGCTAAACTTGGCTGTGTTTCCCTAGTGCCCTGGTGTTGTAGCTCTGCTTGCACTCACATCCCCGAGCTAAAGCACGGAGCAGGTGAACRGTGTGTTCCCAGTTTCCTTAGCCGTGGTTCTGCTTTTTGTTTATTTCCCTAGYGGGGCTGCAGTCAAACAAACAGGAGCACCAAGGGATAAGGGGCAGAAAAAAGGCACTCAGGTGGGTTGGGAAAGTTGGAGATTCATCCACAAATAGCCCTTGAATCTCTAGGGAAATCGATTGGGTGATGGTTTGTTTTTCCCGGGTCACAGGCTCCTGCCAGTGGAGTGCTCCAGCAGGGACACCCAGAGCACGGGGCACAGGGCGGCATCCAGGCGGGTTGGGAAGATCTCCAGAGAAGGAGACTCCACAGCCTCCCTGGGCAGCCTGTGCCAGGGCTCTGGCACCCCCACAGGGAAGAAGTTCCTCCTCACATGGAGATGGAACTGCCTGGGTTTCAACTGGCCACCACTGAGAAGAGCTTGGCCCCTTCCTCCCTGCATTCCCCTTTCAGGTACTTACACATATTGATCAGATCCCCTCTCAGCCTTCTCTTCTCCAAGCTRAMCAGGCCCAACTCGCTCAGTCTTTCCTCATACGAGAGACGCTCCAGTCCCTTAATCATCTTCATTGCTCTACGCTGGACCCTCTAGTGATTCTGTGAAATGTGGTTTTTGACACGCATCCACCCTTTGCCAGCAGACCCTGTCAATATCTGCACCCACACAGCACTACAGGCATGTGAGACACGACTGAAAATGTTAYTGCAATGTGGTAAAAATTCCTCTTGTGTCAGTAAAAAGGACTTTTGAAATAACATTCACTTCTTATCATGGTGATTATGTAGCTAGCTTATGATAGGCTTTTATGTTGTGGGATGGGCACAAGGAAATTTTTTTCCGAAARTGGGATTAATAAGATGGATTTGTTTGACTTCTCTGCAATTTAATTTCCATTTGGGGTGGTGGCAGGAATTTTGATATGGTGGAGTATAGTCACAGGGGAAAAAAAATAAAGCTGATGTCAGACGGGACAGATATTTTAGGTTAATGGACTTCTGCTTTCTAATGCTGGCAAGCTCTGTGATTGTGTCTCTCCTAAAAACAGCGATTTTKGGGGAGTTCCTGGCTTCTTGTGAGGGGTAGCTGGGTTTTGCAGTCTAGGACTCCTGCAAGGCTTGTTTGGTGAAGGGCTGAAGGTCACCAGAGTGGGGCCACAGGCGTGTGCTCTGAAAGTGGGCCTGCCACAAGGCTGCAAGGAAATTAGTGTTGTTGGCTCGTTTTCTCTTGTGTCTGTCCAAGGGTGGGCAATGGGGTGATGCAAGAGTTTTGGGTTGGTGTGTAACTTTCTTTGCAGTTTGTGAGTTATCCTTTTCTGGGACAATCTTAGGACACTAGGACAAAGTTTAAAGCTGTTGAGCCTTGGTGGTTGCAAAGCTTATCTCTACAGTGTGTGTTTGAAAGAGCGGATTTGCCYGGACTGAGGAAAGCAGAACTGGTGGCTGGGGCTGCAGCAAGGGCCAAGGAAGCATTTTTGGACCTTGCAATGAACTTGGATGCGGAGTTTATTCCGATCACCTTGCTGCACATCAGACATGAAGAGTTACACAGCGTATTTACCACCGTTAGATAAGTGTTAAGGCCAGCAGGGAGCCTTTTTGAACATAAACTGTGACTCTCTTGCAAAGAAAGGAGATGAAGATGTGGCTATTAGTTATTGATCTTGGTGTGCCTAGTTTGGAAGGGCAGAGTGACTTCTGTAGGCCCCTCTGCAAGTAGGACTAGAAATAAYTGCTTCAATTTTCAGAGAATACATTAGGAAAAATCTTCTTAACTATAAGATTAGGTAGGCGGTTGCAAGGCTATCCAGCAAAACTCTGAGCTGTGGCTGGACGTGCAAGGAAATCCTAGATATCCATAGTTGTGGCTCCGGGCAGGAGGCAAGAGGGGGTTCAGCCTCCCCAGGTCCCTTCCTCTTCTGCATTTATCACCCCCACGGTTAGTGAAGCAGCTTGGCAGCCAGGATGCGATTATCCGACCCCAAATGCAGCCTCAGCAGTCGCCGAGTGTCAGTGTGATAAAAGGAGGTAATAAGAGTCTTTAAGGACTCCAAGTGGACCTTGCCCTGGTTTAATACCTCACTAGAGACYCAAATCCACATAATTGCCCCGTGCTGGTTTAGGAGCCCCCAGAGGAAGGAACGTTGCTTGGCAGCTTTGTTAGTGCTGGCCCTTGGAGGGGTCTTGCTGAATAAAACCTGCCCCAAAGTCGCTTGGCTTGTAAGAGCAGTGCAAGGCAGCAGCTTGTGGCTCCAGGCCCTTAGCACCTGGGGAGCAGCTGCCAGAGCCTCCCTCTCCACTCAGATATTGCAGATACTGCACAGACCAAGGTGGGTTATTGTGTTTGGGAGGGAAAAAACGGCTTTTATTGATACGTGTTCTCAAGAGCAGGCAATCAAGTGCATGCACTTGCTCTAAAGGGAGGGACCAGAAGGGGCCCGAGCGCGACGACCCTTTCTGACGTGGCTAAGCAAGCAGGAGGGTGGCCTCTTCTGTATTTAACTGCAAATGAAATGCCTTTAATAGACCATAAAGAAGAGCTGGTGATGGGGTTTCTGACAGTGATGTCACTCGCRAGTTCACGTGGTAAGCAATCACTCAGAGGGACCTTGGTTCTTGCACACTGTTTTATTATCTAAAATAGGTTCTTCCTTCATAATTTTTTAAGAAGCAGCTGGGGAATATTATCTTTCAGAGAGGCAATATGGCTTTATGACATAAAATTTATATCCAGCAACGTAGATCTTTTTGAAATACCTACTCAAGGCCTGCTTTCAACATGTCAAGTGTGGAGAATAACTTTTCGAGACAGCAGTGGCAAGGAATTAGGAGAACCCCCACGTCTGGGAGCGAAGGAGAGGGTTTAGCTACCCGGTGCTGTCTGAAATTGTGGCCACCCAGAAGGGTTGTCCGTGTGCTGGGCTCCTCCGACGACCTGTGTGACAGCCTGGGGGCCCTGGGGTGAGTATTGTGAGCCAGAGACACCAGYGTGTGACAGGGACACCCGTCACGCACGGCACAGCTGGGATGCCAAGTCTTAACACCTAGGTGTGAATATTGGTGTGAGCCATGGCTAATCCCTCCTGGCATCTCCGGGAGCCCCTCTCCTCTTGGCTCTAATGCTAATTTGGGAGCGGGTTTGTCCCGGGCAGCCTTTTGGCTTTCCCTAGCTGTGTGAAGTGGGTGTGAGTCCCCTAATCTGCGCAAGTGGCTTTGTTGCTGGTGGATGTGCACTGTGGTGCCCTGGTGCACGGTGAAATGTGGGCCAGAATTAGTGGAACAATTTAAAAGGAAAAAAAAAAAAAAAAGACATTTCATTTAAGTTTTTAAAACTAGGGYATAGCCTGTATATCCTGGAATCTGTTATGTTATTTTACTCATGCTGATGATATTTATATTAACATTTGTGTTAATTTCTGTGTACAGAAGTGACAGGCTGACATGCTGCCTGGTTTTGAGTAAGTAAATTTCTGAGGGTAAATAGAAGCCCCRTGTGTGCAAATGAGCCAAAGCTGTTGGGTAACAGAAGAAAAAAAAGCTGCAATTTTGAATTGATTCTTATGGTCATACCTTGGTTAAAAATAAGCAGGTGATGACTGAAACCTTTCCAGG